TGTTGTTTCTGATATTTGGTACAAGGCTTGCCACTGCAACATACAATAATTCACTTTTTTAAAAGCTACATAAAAGTAACATAACCGTAAGTGGCTCCACCTGCTAATATCAGTGTTCCTACCCCTACGCAGGTGTTCTTGGGTTAGCAAGTCAGGAATCAGGCTGGAAAACTTTCTCAGCGTGGTCTATGCTTACGGTAGTTTAGTCACGTTAGGCTGGTATGTGAACGAGAGGGAAGGAAAAAACAGTTTACGGTCCACAAACCCTAATGTTGTACTTCCATCATATTAAACAACAAGGGACAGCGTTTAGACATTTTAAAAATGTTAATTTTATAAAAGGAAACCAGAAAAGAGCTAGTCAATACGAGATCCAAAGGAAAATGACAAAGGGCTATGGTAATTAACGACGGAACCCTCTGAATCAGGAGTTTGAAGGGTTAAGGAAGGAGTTATCACATGCCTCCACACGGGGGCAGCAGTGCTGTGATTCACAGAGACTGACGGCTTCATTTTGGGGTCAGCTTTCCTGGATGAGCCTGGAACTGACGAAAGCAATGTAGCTTAGGGGGAAAAAACGAGCACAGTAACTCAATTTTGCATGATTTCAGGAAGTCAGTACACTAGGTTAAATCCTGCTTTTGAGTAAAAATATGCAAATTCTTAAAATATGTAAAAAAGTTCATTCTGAGTTACAATATTAGCTGTCAGGCATTACTAAATTTTAGAACACCAGAGTTGCCACTTCCCTTAAACCTAAAATCTGCTTTAACAGTGCAAATGCAAATTCCTCCTGATACAGTTCTCTTCACAGTTCCCCCAGAACACTTGTTAGCCATCTTGAATGTTCTTCCTGTATATTTTATATGAATACACAAGTTTTTAAAAAATAACCTCAGCCCTGACCAGTTTGGCTCAGGGGTTAGGGCGTTGGCTGGCAGACCGAATAGTCATGGGTTCAGTTCTGGTCAAGGGCACGTACCTTGGTTTTGGTTGGTCCCTGGCCCTGGTTGGGTCGTGTAGGGGCAGCCAGTTGATGTGTCCCTCTCATGTCGATGTTTCTTTCTCTCTCCCCAACCCCCCCCCACTCTGTCTGAAAATAAATGGAAAAATATCCTCAGGTGAGGATTTACCAAAAACAACCTCAAGTTAAAGCCAAATGAAATTTGATAAAATGCTTTATTTATAGTTAACCTCATTTTCATCCAGTGTTGGTATTAGAAAGATTGCTTCCTGTATTTTTAAACCACAGATAATTTTGTTTGGTTAGCCAGGCACCAAGACCTTAATTCAAGTCTTAGGCATTTTCTGATTTCTTTTTTTTTTATCCTCACCCGAGGACACTTTTCCATTTTTTCTTCAGATAGAGTGGGAGGGAGAGGAAGAGACAGAGAGAGAAACATCGACGTGAAAGGGACACATCAAGTGGCCGCCACCCGCATGACCAACCAGGGCCGGGGACAAACTGCAACTGAGGCACGTGCCCTTAGCGGGAACCGAACCCGGGTCTCTCTGTACCGCAGGCCGAAGCTCCAACCGCTGAGCCAAACCGGCCAGGGCATGATTTCTTTACTAGGCTGATTTAATAAAAAATAAAATTTCATAAGTGAATATAAACCTTTGCCTCGGGTCTTTGTAAGTTTCTATGTAGAAATGGACCATACAACTGAGTCACTAATGCCGAGGTTCTCACCCTTAGCTGCATATTAGAAGCATTTGGGGAGCTTTGAGAAAAGCCCTCTAGCCCAGCCGGTGTGGCTCAGTGGCTGAGCGTTGACCCATGGATCAAGAGGTCACCAGTTCGATTCCTGGTCAGGGCACACAACCTGGTTTCGGGCTCTATCCCCAGTGAGGGGTATGCAGGAGGCGGCCAATCGATGTTTCTCTCTCATTGATGTTTCTATCTCTCCCTCTAAAAATCAATAAAACATATTAAAAATAAATAAAAAATTAAAAACCTCTCTGCCCAGGCCACACTGCTGATAGATTATGTTGGAAAACTCGGTGACATCTCCCCCACCCCATGATTGCAATGTGCAGCCATAGTGGAGACACACTGAGGCCTAATCTCAGAGATTTAGCAATCTGATTTAATGCCAAGTAATACTTTTTTGCTTAAATAAAAAAATCCTAATAGTTACACAAATGAAAATTTATAATTTCATTGTTAGACTTGGGCTTTTAATTGCTTAGTCATAACCCATGCATTCAACTGATTTGGAAGATATGTGTTCTAGCAGACACGTGTCTATACTTAGATGTGGTTAACTCAAGCCAGGTAATATACCTGGGCAGAAATCAGGAAAGCTTCGCGGAATGGGCACCATGCACTCACTGGCTTTGGAAGATGCCCAGGATCGACAGGGCCATAGCGTTTCATGTACCCGTGAATTAGGTGTAGAGCACAGGGCAGGTGGTTTGGCTTGACTGAGAGTAGCTTTCTTGAAGAAATGCAGCAGAAAGAGGTGCCTTGGGAAGCAAATCTGGAATTTAATTATAGAAAGTCTTCAAGCACCATGCAGAGGAACTGGGACTTCATGCGGGAGGTGATGCGGGGTCACTGAACACCTGTGAGCAGGAGAGGCACGCGCTGGGCTGGGAGCGGGGCAGCCCAGGTGTCTCAGGCTCTGCCATGGGAGGGGCAGGCAGGAGTGATGACTGGGAGTGGGAAGGTTACAGAACAGGGGACCCGACTAGAAACATACTCTGATTTGAAATAAAACATTGGAAAGAAACACACTGACACAAAGTAAAGTTCATTCATCTCACATTTTATTTTACCAGATTTGTAGTTAGTTTTCAAAAACTGAACAATAAGGACGTTGATACATGGGGCTTCCCATTTCAATGCAAATACATTTTTCCAGTTTTAAGAAACTTTTAATTCAAATATGCTTCCTTCTCTGTTATTTAAACCTTCTCAACAGAAAGCCAGTTTCTTCATATATTTCAGAAACAGAGAAATTATTTGACAACGTAATATTTATTCATACATATCAATCTCTCATTTACACTAAATTGAAGAAAGTAAATTTGAAGCAGAAACTATTATAAAAATGTATTTGTGTAAGTATAACAATCTTTGGTTGAAAAATGCCACTCATCAGAGGTTACAAAAGGAGTTCTTTATAGAATTTACAGTGGTCCATTCTGATTCCCCAATCATGTCTGTCTCGGGGTAGTATTTCTTTGGACCAATTTGTGCTACTAAAAAGAAAAATGTAAAAAAAATAAAATCCTTTAAAAATAAACTAGAGTGGCAGCCCCTCCTCTTTGCCCACTGGCTCATTTAAGAGACCCTGCCAGGTGTGAGGACTCAGGAGGGAGGGGCCTGCTCCACCTGAGCATCAAGTGGTACCTGAGCTGGGGCGGTTTCCTTCATAGGACCAACAAGCACACGACATTACTTAAGTTTCCTTTTCTGAAACGCGGGGCTTAACATTTACTCTGCCTTTCAGCAGGTGCAGTGAGACACACACAAAGACTAATTCTGACACAATTTGGGGTCAGCTGACGAATTTACTCCCTACTGAACTGCCTACTGTTAGGTGACTTAAGTTGAGCTGGCTCTTTATTCAAGTAGGGAGAGAAAACCCCCTAGGCCAGAATCGTGGATTCTAGGTGGAATTCTCCCTAAGAAAACTAGGCCACAATGTCCACTTCGGACCTAGCTGCCATTCTTGTTAAGAGTGTTACAGCCTTCTGATTTTTTACAGAAGTATGCAACTGATTCTAAATGTTCATTAATTCTTGGACTGTTCTGTTGATGTTAGAAAAGGTGAATAACAAATGCCAGCCGTTAACCTTTATGGCTTCTCTAAACCATCAAAAAGTTACAAGTATTTTTATTTTTATTTATTTAATTTTTTTTTATCCTCACCCGAGGACATTTTTCCATTTTTTGTTCAGGTAGCGTGGGAGGGAGAGAGAGAGAGAGAGCGAAACATCAATGTGAAAGGGACACATCGAGTGGCTGCCAACCACATAACCAACCAGGACCGGGGACAAACAGCATACCAAGGTACGTGCCCTTAGTGGAAACTGAACCCGGGTCTCTCTGGACCGCAGGCCGATGCTCTAACCGCTGAGCCAAACCAGCCTGGGCAGTATTTTTTTTTTTAAATAGAATTTTACTCTATTTACTTGAAGAGTATTTTCCAATAATATTTTTAGTTAAGGAAGTCAAACTTACTCAAATTCCCAGTTTTCACTGATTTTGTTTTTAATCTTTAAGGGCTGAAGTAGTATACACATATTTGTAGACTTTTTACAATAAATTATAATACATATAATAGAGTTGTTGAAGCATGAACCTTAGCAGTTAGCATTAACTTTGGGGGGGGGGGGAAGATGTCAAATCACATTCTTTACAAATGAAATATCTCATTCTGAACTGTATTTCTCTAAATTTTGAGATTTTATGAAAACATCATTTCCTCACCTTAATCTTACCAAGGACACTGTGTTGAGAAGCAAGATGCTCATACCCAAATTCATACCTATTTCAAAGAGGGATCAAAGGATAATGATTACAGTTGGGTGACACTGGAGTGCTAGCATTATGTCTCACAGTGGCATACATGACGGTGAGAGAAACCAGAGAATACCCGTGGAGATGTTTACTTCCCCTTCTAGTTTTATTGAGATATACTTGATATGTATCATGATGTAAGTTTAAGCATAATGATTTGATATGTATATTATGAAATGATGAGCATAATAATTTAACATTCATCAACTCACATAGTTACAAAAAAAGTTTTTTCCTTGTGATCAGAATTTTCAAGATCTATTCTTTTAGGAACTTGCCAATATGCAGTACAATATTAGTAATTAGTCACCATGCTGTACATTACATCTCGATACGTACTTATAAGTGTTAAGTTTGTACATTCTGACCACCTTCATCCAATTCCTACACCCCACCACCCCCACTATCCCCCTCTGGCACCCACAAATCTGACTTATTTTCTGTTGAGTTTTTTATATATTATACATACAAGATCACAAGGTATTTGTCACTTAGCAAAATGCCCTGAATCCATGTTGTTGCAAATGTCGAGATCTCCTTTTCAATGATAATAGTATTTCACTGTACGCGTATACATTTTCTTTATCCACTGATCCCTCGATGGACATTTAGAAGGTTTCCATGTCTTGGCTGTTGTAAATAATGCTGCAGCGAACCAGGAGGGGCAGACATCTCTTCCTCATAGTAACTTCACTTCATTCAAATATATATCCTTAAGTGGAACTGCTGGGTCATAGGTAACTCTATTTTTAATTTTTGAGGAACTAACATACTGTTTTGCACAGTAGCCATATGAATTTACTGTGGATCTCAACGTTTATCAGAGCAAAAAGTTTACACCAGTTTTTGGAACCATTCATAGGGTTGGCTCTGCCGGAGTCTGTAATATGTTCTGGCAAGTGCTGTATGAAGCAGAAACTTCTGATTTCCTAAAAGCAAGATAAAGAGGTAGCATCAGAGAAAAACCTAACTGAGAACAGAAGTTAAATTCAGGAGCCTACCCAGAAAATGGACAATTAAAATAAACTGTAGTAAGAGTCCCTGGTCTATGAAATAGAGAAATCTGTTAAAATAATTTCAAATGTTCAACTCTCCTCACTCTAGAAATCCTTTTTCTATCCCTGTGATATATTATTTATTCTAGGCAAACAAGAAATAGAGCCGTTGCATATAAAATGCTTGGTACATATTTCATCATTTATATTTAGGGCCAATGGGAAAGGCTGGAGAGAAACGTGTTCTCCCACTATTGGTTTTAAATCTCCCTCTCAGATGACACTTTGTAAAAGGTGATGATTCCAACAGTGTTCATGTTCCATAATGCCTTTTACCCATATTGTCAAGGAAATCATGGGTGCCAGTAAGAGATTCTCTGAAATAACCGAAGTTCATATCACACTATTACTGTAGCAATAGACAGCTTCCTAAAATCCATCATTCTAGTCCGACACTATACAAAAAATATGAGTCATGTATTTTAAGTTCTCTAAAAGCCACATTAAAAAAGTATAATAAACAGGAAAATTAATTTTAACATATGTTACTTGACTCAATACAGCGAACTATTAACATCTGCCAGGCCTGTACATGTTCTGTACTAGCTCTGAACTCTGGTGTGGACGTCGTACTTCCAGCATGTCGTGCACTGGACTAGCCACATCTGCATCCCCAGCAGCACACATGGCCGTGACTCGGAACTAGAAGATGCAGCCGTGGTCCCTGCCTCAGTCCCTGACCACAGCAGACTAAGGCTGTAGGTGCCCAGCCAGTTCTCTACAGTGTACTTGTCACAGCAAACACTTCAGGGACACCGCCCAGTGCAGGAGCTACAGGTTAGATTTGCATACAAATCTTTCTCTCTGGGGGGAGGCCATCAGGAGGAACCTCCACTGTCACAGGACTGTGCTGTGGCAGAGACTTCCTAGGGACTATTGTGGGGAGTGAGGTCATAGTCAGGCCTGTGGCTGAATTCTCCAACACAAATTTATTTTTCTATTTGTTGAAGTCAATTCATTTTCTGCCAAGAATTTCTGTATAATTCTTTTAAGTAGAATTTGAAATATAATTCCAATATGGCCCGGCCGGTGTGGCTCAGTGGTTGAGCATCAATTTATATATCAAGAGGTCGCTGGTTCAATTCCCAGTCAGGGCACATGCCCAGGTTGTGGGCTAAATCCCCAGTGTGGGGCATGCAGGAGGCGGCCAACTGATGTTCTTTCTCATCGATGTTTCCATCTCGCTCTCCCTCTCCTTTCCTCTCTCTCAAAAATCGATAAAGAAAAAAAATTTTTTAATAAATATAATTCCAATATGTGAAAAAGATAAAAAGAAAGGATTAACAAGTTTCTAAAACCATTTACTTGATATAACAATGAAGCTGCTGGAAGACGATAAATATCCGAAACCCAATTGCTAATGAGTTATTCTGTATTAGCTACAGCATTCATTGAACTAGCGTCAACCGCTTACAGACAGGCGAGGCTCAAGCAGTCTAAAACTGCCTTCCTGGTTGGCTTCGGCTCAAAGGAACCCTAAGAAATTGAGAAGACAGAGGGCTGGGGGCCCAGACTGCCCTTCTGGGTGGGATGTTCTGTCTTCTGCTTTGCCCCGGGATCAAAGACACCACTTTGCTTTCACCAAGTTGTCCCTCCCACTGGGCTTTGTAGAGTCTGCTCCCAAACTCGACTGTAACCTAGGATAGCACCTCACATTACAGGTATTGGGGGACATATCTCCCTCTCGTCCCCACTATGTGGACACACATTCTGACTGGAATGGGGGGGACTTCCAGGTCACTTCATTCAGCAGAAGGTGGAGGGGGGTCAAAGGGTTTGAGGCAATGCAATTCAGAAGTTTTCAAAATCTGCCTTTTTTATTAAATTCTCTTTCATATCTTAAAAATATTCTGGTCAAGGGAAAAACAAATGCCTTCAGGGAGTCAGTATTTATATGTTAAAATTGAACACATTTGCAGAATTAAGTAAAATGCATTCTGATTTCTGTAAAAGGAAAATTGCCCTCCCTGCACTGAACACGAACAGATTCTACGATTACTTCCCATGGGCTCAAGCAACGCCCTCGTTTCTGGACTTGCAGCCGCTAGAGGGTAGAGGAAGCAGCCAGTCCGATAAAAGGACAGGGAACATGACTCTTCTGAGCCCACCTCAAACCCAAAGCCTGTCAATCCGCATTATTTTACATTAAAACTGGAATGACATAAAAAAAAATTGATAATTCAGCAAAATTGGAATCTAAGTGTCCTCATTAACATTTACTGTCAACATATCTTAGCTGAAGTTACTGACATCTACATATTCACTGAACATTTTTCAAAAGAAAGGACATCTGAAAAGAAACACACAGGAAGCAGATACCTTTTAATGATAAAAGCAAACCTCTCTCTCATCTCTTCTTCTCAGAGAGAAATAAATTTTACTTCTTTGTGGCTCTCACCAGTTAGGTAGGTGCTGAACAGAGGAAGGGAAAAGGGCTGAATAACATAGTGACAACAAACCAAAAGCACGAGTGGTAACATGAGTGGATCGATTCAGCGATGGGGGAGAATGGAAGCAAAGCTGTCGACCGGGTTCACCGCTTGGGACTTTCTGATTCTTTCTTAGGAGCTGGAAAGAGGAAATGCCGTGCGAGAAGCTACTTTAAAATCTTAGGGATCATCCAGCAGGCAGATGGACAGATTCTGAATTCCCGTGTAATCTGTTTATCTGTGAAGCATTTAGCCTCAAGTGAATAATGCCAACTCACAGAATAACCAGTTCGGGGGAAGCAATGGCCCTGGTCTCTGGCACCTTAGATTTTGAGGAAACTTCCACACAGAGCATCTACATGAAATGCACATAAAACCGTCTTAGAAATCCGTTTTACGGCAAGTAGCACATTTGCAGATGCGTCCTGACGTCTGCACGGAGGGGAAAACCTGTGTAAAATCTCCCATTTTCCTGGGATGAGTCTAAATCTAAGTGTGCTCTCTCCACTAATGACAAAATCTTTATTTCTTACTAGTTTTCTGTTGAAAATATATGAAGATTTTGTTGAATGCTCAAGAATTTGATAACTAACTAGAAAAATATTCATTTGATCCTTCTGTTGTTTTTTGTTTGTCTTCTCATGTCCCTATACTGCCCACCACCCGACCTGGCCACCATATACAGTAGGTCCAAAAAACTTTGTGAACGTTCACTTAAGATGACGGCTTAAAAATAACAAAGTTATTGCATCAGTCACTATTAACCTACCACTAAAAATAGGTTTATGTTATAACAAATAAATATCGTTCATGAAAAAAAGAAAAACAATTTAGTCACAATATTAAAATACATAAAGTATGCAAAGAAATGCTAATGAACTTAGCAAACTCTCACTTATGCACCTGTGAAAAGTCTTCACTGTAAGTGAGAACATTAATGCAAACAGAAGGCATCTGGTTTCCGGACGCACAGGCATGACAAGCAAAGCAACCGCAGCAGCAGCAGAGGACGGGCGAGGGACGCGACTCCAAGCCCAGAAAGTGTGCAGATTAGCTAAGGAAGGAGACTGGAAGGGAAAAGGCAGGCGCTTGTAGGTGGGGCCCATTTCAGACCGATCTGGGACCCTGTTAGTATGCTTAGCTGAAAGCTAAGAAGCAGAGAAATGTACAAGGACACTTGAATTTTGTGGCCGTTTTCATCACAATTTAAACGATGTTTAATGATCTTAAAAATTACCACTTGCCCTGACTGGTTTGGCTCAGCGGTTAGAGCGTCGGCCCGCGGACCAATGAGGCCCAGGTTTGGTTCCGGCTAAGGGCGCCTACCTGGTTTCAGTTCATCCCCAGACCTGGTCAGGGTCATGCAGGTGGCAAACAGTTGATGCATCTCTCTCGCATCGATGTTTCTCTCTCTCTCTCTCCCCCTCCCTCCTAATCTGTCTAAAGATAGGTGGAAAAATGTCCTTGGGTGAGGATAAAAGATTAAAAAAAAATTACTACTTATTTATTTTAAATCTCACCTGAGGATATTTTTCTATTTATCTTAGATAGAATGGGAGGGAGAGGGAGAGAGAAACATCTACATGAGAGAGCCACATCAACTGGTTGCCTCCCACAGGGCTCTGGCCAGGGCCAGGGACCAACCAAAAATCAAAGTACATGGCCTTGGCCAGAATCAAACCCGCGACTCATTGATCCGCAGGCAGACTCTCTAACCGCAGAGCCAAAGTGGCCAGGGCACTACTTATTTTCTACTTTGATTTTTTTTTTGTTCTTGGTTTTGTTTGTCCACTTTATTTAGTGAATGGATGAGGGACGGTTTTATTTTGACAGTGATTTCCTTTCATGTAATAATTTTTGGTGACATTATCCCTTCCAGACTCCCAATCATATGCTTTTTAGGAAATGACATCAGGGCCAGTGACGTGCACTCCTGCCTTCACGTACCCTCTACCACGCTGCCTTGCATGTTCTAGCGGTCCTTCCTCCAGAGGAGTCTGAGGTATAATCCACTCTTACATGTACATGGACAGGTTTTTTTTGCTTTGCTATACTATGTCTCATTCTTTTCATTTTCATGTTTCATTTCTTCATTTCAATTTCAATTCGCCCATCACCCCAACTCCCACCCCTTTGGCAACCCTCAGCTTTTCCCATATGGAGGGGTTTGTGTCTGTTTTGTTTTCTTTATTCATTTCTTTTGTTTTTTGGATTCTGCATATAAATGAAACCACATGGTATTTTGACTTTGTCTGACATATTTCACTTAGCATAACACCCTCTAGGCCCATCTACGTTGTTCAAATGGCAAGATTTCATTCTATTTTTTCGTATTGCTGAATAATATTCCATTGTATATATATTACCATATCCTCTTTCAGTCATCTATCAATGGACACTTAGGTTGCTTCTATATCTTGGCTAATACTGCAATGAACATGAGGTTGCATATATCTTTTCAAATTAGTCACTTTGTTTTCTCTGGACAATACCCAGAAGTGGAATTGCTGGCTCATATGGCAACTCCGTTTTTAATTTTTTGAGGACCGTCCACCCTGTTTTCCAGTGGTTGTGCCCATGTACAATCCTACCGGCAGTGCCGGCATCTAATCCTCGCCAGCACTGATTTGATAGCCATTCTAACAGATATGAGGTGATATCTCGTTGTGGTTCTAATTTGTATTTCCCTGATGATTAGTGATGCTGGGCATCTTTTCATGTCTGTTGGTCATCTGTATGTCCTCTTTTGAGAAATGTCTATTCGAATTCCCTGCCTATTTTTTAAGTGGATTGTCTGGGGGCTTTTTTTGGTGTTAAGTTGTATGAGCTCCTTATGTATTTTGGATATTAACCTTCTTGGAAATCAATAGTGAATATTTTCTCCCATTCAGCAGGCTGGCTGTTTTCTTGAATATTTTCCTTACGGTGCAAAAACTTTTTTAGTTTGATGTAGTCCCATTTGTTTATTTTTGCTTTTGTTTCCCTTTCCTGAGACACATCCAAACAGATGTTGTTAAAGCCAAAGTCAAAGAATTGACTACTTATGTTTTCTTCTAGGAGTTTTATGGGATCAGATCTTATATTTAAGTCTTTAATCCACTTTGGGCTTATTTTTGTACATGGTGTAAGAAAGCAGTCTAATTTCACTTTTTTGCACATATCTCCCGTTTTCCAACACCACTTATTGAAGAGACTTTCTTTACTCCATTGTATATCTTTGCCTCCTTTGTCATAGATTAACTGACCAGGTAACTGAGAATTTCTGGGCTATTTTATTTCACTGAAAGCAAGCTACAGGGAAGCATTATCCCACATACTTCTTACAAGTCTTTAAAAATCTAGTGATCGTAGCCCTGCCAGGGTGGCCCAGTGGATTGAGGGCTCGATCCCCAGTAGGGGACGTGCAGGAGGCATCGATGGTTCTATTGCTCTCTCCCTCTCTCTCTAAAAAATAAAAACATTAAAAAAAAAATCTCAAGAGAAACATTTGCTCATAAACTTCATTGTATTTCCTCAAATTTTAGGTATACATCAGTAATAGTCTTCACCCTGGTTACTTAACCTGTAGTTCAGGCCCAGCAGCAACAGCACTTGGAGCTCATCGGAAATGGAATCTCAGGTCAGTTATGGTACAGAAACCTTTAATCTGGGGCTACAGTGCTAAAATAACTTCAGCTTCAGAAGGCCATTAGTTGATAGCTGGAGTGTTTGATTCAAACTTAAGAACCTTCAAGTATTTTGATTCAGTGATGTTATAAATAAAGAAGAAAAATGAGGGATACAACGCTATATTGTTTTGCTTTCTTTAAAAGTTATTTCTACATGAACCTTTTGGAACTGTAAAAATATTCTACTAACATTATTTCCTAACTCAGACTGATGTGTATATGTAATTAAAAAAGACTACTGAAAGAGAAATTGCATATGCAAAGCATATGTTCTACAAATATAAGATTGAAGATTCAAATAAAGGCATTGTGGGTATTTTTCAAAAAATCAATAATATAAAAGAAGTTTAAGCTCCTTATGAGTGTAGAATGGACTTTTATTCTATAGCCCCCCCCAATGATTAATATAAAAAATATATCATAAAACCATGAATACCAAAAGTCTTAAAATTATCGATCTCAGCCCTGGTCAGGTGGCTCAGTTGGTTGTGGCATTGTTCCACACATCAAAAGGCTTTGGGTCAGGGCACACACATAAGTTGTGAGTTCAATTCCCAGTTGGGATATGTACAAGAGGCAACAAATCGACATCTCTCTCTCTCTCTCTCTCAAAAGCAATAAACATATCCTTGGTGAGCATTAAAATAAATTACTGATTTGATTTCAAACTATTTCCAAAGTAATTGGGGAAAAACAAATAACTAAAAATCAAAAATTTCAAAGCACCTAATCTTGGTCTATGCTCCAGGAATTATTTTCTTTCATTAAATTATAAATTATGTCATTAGAATTGAAGTTTAATGTTTAAAAACTCTATGATCTTTGAATAATTTGTATATTTTTTATTTACTAAGTTTATCTTTCATTTTTATAAATAAAAAGACAGATAAAGTTAATGAGGTGCCTTATAAATCTTACCCCTCTCAGCAAGTTTAACCCCATCAGTTTTCCTGCAACCTAGTAAATTAAAAGAACATAAGAGGGAAATCAAATAGTGTTGCTTTTAATCCCCCAGTTTAATTTGTATAAATAACAACTCTAAATGAAAAAAAATCAAATTGGGTATTTGACTGAAGACATCTGCATGGCTTCTTACAACTACTTAAGTAATAAAGCTAAATGGAAATTTTCATCAAAAAGCCCCAATGAATATATCTGTCAAAATTCCCACAGTGAATGATTTTTAAATTTAATCCTGGCCACCAGCTCAATTTAGAACATAGGGTATACACCTTGGGTAGGGAAGGCCCCATCATGGTCCATGATTTGTTGCAGAACTTAAACCCCAAATCCCACAGAAATTTTTCTTATAAACCTAACAGCTGAAGCAACACTGCACAGATTTCTCTTGTTAGAATGATAGTAAAAAGTAGCTGTAATGTTTTTAGTAAAGACATGTGATTCCGATGGCACAGTCCTATAGGCACATTTAACAAATGCATGCAATACAGTGCAAACAAAAGCTGCACAAAAGTACATCAAGTGTGAGAAGCACCAGTACGTTCAAAAAACATGTTTTAATTTAATTTACCCTTTCTTCTTCTTCTTAAGGAACACGAAAATGATGAAAATTACTAAGCTGCAACCACCTACAATAAACCAAAAACAAATGAAATGTAACTGAAAACCAATCACGAAGATTCAAAATCTAGCAGAAGAAATCAATGTTGGTTACATTTCAGTGGTCAGAAATGCTATTTTATTTAAGCACATATACGTGTATATTCCATCTGGACTCTTCACTGTCTAAATGCAATTCCGGAATCACTTAAACAGTCCACAGTAAGTCAAAGAAGAGTCTTTCTTTAGTTTAGAAAATTACCCAAAGCATATTTGGAATGTAAGCTCATATGACTAATCATCTTTAAAAAAAAAAAAACCATGTATTAATTAGGATTTGGTACTAAGTGGACATATAGAATAAAAATGAATATGTAATCACCAATATAAGGTAGTATATCTTATAACAGTGAAGTGCTTCTAGACTGGTTTCCTTAATTTCAAGCTATAAAAACTGTGGAAACTGCAAAACCGTTAAAGAATGCTCTTCTTTTTTTTTGGTACATGCCCCTAGCGGGAACAGAACCCAGGACTCTCTGGTCCGCAGGCCAATGCTCCAACCGCTGAGCCAAACCGGCCAGGGCAAAGAATGCTCTTCTTCACATTAATATTTCAATTTAGGTGGCATCCAAGTTGGGTCACTTACCTAAAACACAGATAACAATCAGGATGATCATTCCGGCACCTGAGAAAAAATAGAACCAGTTTGAAGATAACTGAGCACATGTGAGTCTCCAGATGGCAATTAACATTTTTATTATGATCAGCTCATCTATAAACTACACCAAAGAAAAAGTTTATCAACCTAGTTTTGTGTGACTGCTAGTGCATCCAGCTCATTTGGATCACAGAGCCCTTCTAATTTAACTCCAGGCTTAGGGTCAAACATCATTTTGTGCTGTAGCTACCACACTAGATTATTAGTGAATGTTGTTATCAAAACAATTACAATTCAACTAGATTAGTGGGAAATTGTTTTAAAAATGTATTATCCCATTATAGTTGATTTAGTTCAGTATTCAGTCTATCATTTTTTATGACCTTATTACAAAATTTATATTTTTTCACCAACAGTAGGTCTGTGGAATAAGTCACATGAAGTTTTATCAATCTATTACACAAATGTAATATGCAGAACCTTAACAGACCATACGTTATCATTAATCCTTCCTCGTGCATGCCCACCCCCAAAGCAAGACACCCCAAGGAGATTCTAAGAATGCAAAACAAACAGAAGGGCACATGGATACAAATTATGCTTAGAGCCTTGGCCGGTTTGGCTCAGTGGTTAGAGCGTTGGCCTGCGGTCCAGAGAGACCCGGGTTCGGTTCCCACTAGGGGCATGTACTTCGGTTACAGTTTGTCCCTGGCCCTGGTTTGTCATGCGAGTGGCAGCCACTCGATGTGTCCCTTTTGCGTTGATGTTTCTTTCTCTCTCTCTTCCTCTCTCTCCCTCCCACTCTATCTGAACAACAACAAAAAAAAAATGGAAAAAATTTCCTTAGGTGAGGGTAAAAAAAAAATTATGTTTAGAAACTTAAACATGTATTTTTGACTATCAAGAGAGCAATAAAGAATACAAAATCTTAATTTCATTATATTTTAATTAAATTTCTGTAAGTCAAAGCATATAATGTCATGTTTACCTCTGCTCTTTTCATTTCATTAAAAATTATCGTGTTTAATGACTTAAGATGGCTTTGGATTTACTGCCACAATGAGTTTGACCACAGTGTTCAGAGGGAAAAACATAACAGGCCTAATGTGCATTTCATAAAAAGATTAACCTTACTAGTCTAATGTGAAGCAATACGCATTTCTCTTCATTTACTCACTAAGAAATCTTTATATTTCATTTAAATAACACAACTATACTTTATCATTTTCTTGAACATATATTGTGTGAACTATGTGAGCCTACGTGAAGTATGATAACACCAGCCTGTTCTGAAAAAAAATGAACCCACTCTGGCCGGTTTGGCTCAGGGGTTAGAGCGTCGGCCCACAGACCAGATTCCGGTCAAGGGCACAGACCTCTGTTGCGGTTCAGTCCCTGGCCCTGGTCTGGGTCATGTTGGGGGCAACCAATCGATGTGTCTCTCTCACATAAATGTTTCTCTCCCCACCCCCTTCCCTCCCTCCCACTCTGTCTGAGAAAAAAAAAAAAAAATAGAAAAATATCCTCAGGTGAGGATTTAAAAAAAAAAAGAACCCAACTTAAGGCTTGTGTTAAATAACTTTAAGGCTTGTGCGTACAAAGTATGGATAGAAAGAAAACTTACCTACCAGTTGCCATCACAAAATGACACTATCACATGGAAAGCAAGTTCTATTCTATACATTTTAACCTACATATAAACACAGCATTTAAGAAAGTTACCTCACCTCACAAGGAATCCTAATTTGGGGCACCTCTTAAAAACTGTATTATCTATATGTGTCTATACATACTACTGCTTACATTTGTATGGTATCTGCACCATTAAAATAGACAAATGTTAATTATCCCACATTTGTGACAGATAATTGAAATATAGTATTTCCATGTAGAACTTTAAGGTCTCATAAAGCAGAGCATTGATAACCAAAATAGTACCTAATGCTGTAGACGGTGGTTCACCAGTGGGAGTGGGATGCCCTAGAAGAAAGAAAAAAATAAAAATAAGTGAAAAAGAAAGAAGACAAAGATTAAAGACCTCTAAATCAGATTTTAGAATTTTTAGCTTATAAATTATATTAATGTTTCTATTTAAAAGTAGTATCACAGAATATTATAAATTTATATTCAATGTCATATATATTTTTTTCCTGTTCAGTAACACTTCCTATGATAATATTCTGTGGAACAGCAATTTATTGGTCTAATTTATCATTAGACTAATGTCAAAATAAGCCCATGGATCAATGTGATTCTACATAAAATTTAAAAACAAAGGAAGGCTAAAAAAGATTTAGAAGTTGCCCTGGCCGGTTTGGCTCAGCGGTTAGAGCGCCGGCCTGCGGTCCAGACCTGGGTTCAGTTCCCGTAAGGGCATGTACCTCAGTTGCAGTGTGTTCCCAGCCCTGGCTGGGTCATGCAGGTGGCAACCACTCGATGTGTCCCTTTCACGTCGATGTTTTTTTCTCTCTCTCTCCCTCCCACTCTATCTGAACAAATTATGGAAAAATGTCCTCGGGTGAGGATAAAAACAAAGATTTAGAAGCTGATCTGCAGTAGAAGAAACTTCCACATAATAAAGGCCATTTATGAAAAACCCATAGCTGATAATATTCTCAATGGTAAACCACTGAAAGTTTTTCCCATAAGATCAGAACTAGACAGAATGCCTGCATTAGAAGTAGGCTTCTATTGAACATAATACTGGAAGTTTTAGTCAGAGCAATAAGGAAGAAAAAAGAAGAGCATCCAAGTTGGAAAGGAATGATCTCCATTGCAGATGACATGATCTTTTACATAGAAAACTCTGAAGACTACACATACAAACACAAACCTCTTAGAACTAAGAAATAAATTCAGCAAAGTTGCAGGGTACATAACCTACACCCCCAAATCAGTTGCATTTTTATACAATGAAAATGAACAATCCCAAAAGGAAATTATGAAAACAATTCCATTTACAATAGCATAAAAAATAAAATACTTAGGAAGAAACTTAACCACGGAAGTGAAAGACTCCTACACTGGAAACTACAAACTTATGCTGAAAGAAACAGAAGAATAAATAGAAAGATATCCTGTGTTAACATTACAAAAAGTAATCTACAGGTTACAGGCAACTCCATCACCATCTTGAATATGTATTTTTCAGAAATAGAAAACTCCAACTTAAAATTCATGAAATTCAAGGATCTAAAAATAGCCAAGACAATCCTAAAAAACAAACAAAAAACAGCATAGTTGAGAGGACTCAAAGTTCCTGATTTACTAAACTACTAAAGAGCTACAATAACCAAACCATAGTGGTACTGGCATAAAGACAGACACAGAGACCAAATGAATACAAGTCCAGAAATAAACCCTCACATATATGGTCAAATGTCCACAAGGATGCTAAAAATATCTAATGGGAAAAGAAGTCTTTTCAACAAGTGGTTCTTGGAAAAGTGGATATCTACATGCAAAAGAATGAAGTTGGTTTCCTGCCTTTTACCATACATAAAAATTAATTCAAAATGCATCAAAGAACTAAGCATAAGAGTTCAAACAATAAAACTCTTAGAAGAAAACATAGAGGACAAACTTCATGATGTTGGATCTGGCAATGTGTCACCAAAAACAGCCATCAAAAGAAAAAAATAGATTTATTGGACTTCATCAAAATTAAAAACTTTCATTTATCAAAATACACTATCAATGGAGTAATAAGGCAATCTAAGAATGGGAGGAAACATCTGTAAATCATATAGCTGACAAGGGATTAATATCCAAAATACATAATGAACTACTAAAATTCAATAACAACAAAAAACAAATTTAAAAAATGAGCAAATAACTTGAATAGACATTTCCCCAGAGAAGCTATACAAAACATCAATAAGTACATAAAAGTATGATCACTAATTATTAGGAAATGCTAACAAAAATGACAATGAGATACTACTTCATATACATTAGGATGGCTAGTGTAAAAAAATTTAAAAAAAAAACAAACAGAAAATAACAAGTGTTGGTCAAGAGTTGACAAACTGGAACTTCTGTGTATCACCAGTGGGAATGTAAAATTTATGATAAAAACTGGCATGTCAAAATGAGAAGCGAAGACAACTTATTGAATAATTGGGGATGGGTGGAGTGGAAAGGAACTCTATTTAATTCCATATATCATAAGTATTTCAGCTGTACCAACAATTTAAATGCAAAGAATGCAATCAGAACACCTGGTTGAAATGTTTATATAATTTCAACATGGGGAAGACCATTAAGGAAATGATCGCTATATCTAACCACCTATTAATGTAAAGAAAGCTTCTGCACATATAAATTACCTCTGATAGAGTAAAATATGGCATATATAAAAGTCATCATAAAAAGGATGGGAATAAATCTAAATACAAACCCCAATCTAAGACAGCAAATACAAAATATGAGAGTTTTATTTTTATTTATTTTTTTATCCTCACCCGAGGATGTTTTTCCATTTTTGTTCATATAGAGTGGTAGGGAGAGAGGGAGGGAGGGGCAGGGCAGGAAGGGGAGAGACAGACAGACAGACAGACAGACAGACATCAATGTGAGAGAGACACTTCAACTGGCTGCCTCCTGCATGACCCTGACCAGGGCCAGGGACGAACCGAAACCGAGATATGTGCCCTTGACCAGAATCGAACCCATGACTCATTGGTCTGCGGGGTGACACTCTAACCGCTGAGCCAAACCGGCCAGGGCAAAAATGTAAGAGTTTTAGAAAAACAGGAACAGCATCATGCCATTTTTAAGATAAAAGAAAATAAGCCAAAATATGTATAAAATATGTAAATCTACACATACAGGATATTGATCAATAGAAACAGATACAATGGACTAGAGAAAGAGAAGGAGACTATCTTTTACTCTCTAATGTTTTAAATTTTAGAAATTTATATTCATATACTACTTCTAAAATTAAAAGTTATAAAAAGCAATCTATATCCAATAGCGTAAAAATCTCAAAAGGGCCCTGGCTGGTTTGGCTCAGTGGTTGGAGCGGCAGCCCGCGATCCAGAGAGACCCGGGTTCAGTTCCCGCTAAGGGCATGTACCATGGTTGCAGTTTGTCCCCGGCCCTGGTTGGGTTGTGCGGGCGGCAACCATTCGATGTGTCCCTTTCACGTTGATGTTTCTCTCTCTCTCTCTCTCTCCCTCCCACAAAAAATGGAAAAATGTCCTCGGGCGAGGATAAAAATCTTAAAAGGAAACTGACTAGTAAAAATGAGGCAAAAACAAAATGGAAAAAATGTTCCTTTTAAGTTAAAAGGGGTTTAATTTATAATGAATTCTGATAAATCAACACAAATCTAGAAACCTAACAGACAAATGAACAAAGGACATGAATAAACAATGTAGATCAAAAAGCTTATCTTATCTAATAATTTAAGAAATGCAAGCTAATACATGACATCATTTTCCATCCATCACATTATAAACATTTTTTTTTTAATACTTACCTGAGGACGTTTTCACATTCATTTTCAGATAGATAGAGCGGGAGGGAGAGAAGGGGTAAGAGAGAGAAAGAAACATCGACGAGAGAGAGAGAAACATCGACGAGAGAGAGACACATTGAGTGGTTACCACCCACACGACTCCAACCAGGGCCGGGGACAAACTGCAACTGAGGTATATGCCCTTAGCGGGAACCAAACCCGGGTCTCTCTGATCCATAGGCCAACGCTTTAACCACTGAGGCAAACTGGTCAGGGCTATAAACTTCTTAATGTAGGTAGAATAATGAGTTTTTGAACCTGGACTATTTGGAACTGCAGATTCTGTTGGATGAATAGGCTTGACACCTGGAAAAATAAATTTGATTCCATTCACCAGCCTTATCAATATGATATTATGGATTTAATTTTAATTTTTAATTTTTTAAAACGGTTAATTAGTAACTAAAATAAAAAATACACATACTTTCTAAACTTTGCATTTCTACTGTTGTGTATTTAACCTAAGTATATATTTACAAAAATATATAAGAATCTATCTAACAATGTTCACTATAGCTTTGTACTTTATAATGAAAATGACAGAAGTTAATTAATAATAAATAATAATAAAGGGGTTCAGAATAAACATGCATCTTTATTGTTTTAAATATGTTTTTATTGATTTTTAGAGAGAGAGAAAGGGGGAGGGAGAGAGAAACATCAATGTGAGAGAAACATCGAAGCCAATGATTAGAGATTTCAGTTCACCCTCAACAGGAAAGTAAAGCCAGCAGAAATGATGTCACATGAGTAAGCAAAACTAGGGCCCTGAGTGAGATGAGCCCAGGATAATGATCTTCCTACTATTCTGCTTGTCTCTTGTTTCTGCTGAAATCAAAAGACAATTCCTTCCACCATATTAAAATAATCTCTCATATCTTAAGCAGAGCAGTTGATGGTAGTTCATGCAAAACACCCTCCATTTCATTTCAATAAATATAGTCTTTCTTTGCCTTTCAGTTGCTATAAAATTTCATTCCCATGGTTCAGCTGGCTGGAGCATTGTCCCATCAACCAAAAGGTGCCAGGTTCAATCCACGGTTGGGGCATGTATGGGAATTGACGTATCTGTCTCTCTCTCTCTTCCTCTCTCTCTCAAATCAATAAACATATCCTCAGGTGAGGATTTAAAAAAAAAAAAAAAACCAGCAAAGACAAAAAGAATAATTGTATGAGGTAGGGGTGGGAGTCAGCAGAAATTTACCACTTCAAATTGTACTATATAAAAAGAAAAAAACTGTTTGCTGTCCAGGAAATGAAACTTAGTCCTGGATCAGGAAGATACTCTGTAAAGATGTCACCAGATCACTTTCAATATTAATAAAACAGCAAAGTTGATGACAGAAAACAAATACATTAAAAAACAGAAGCCAAGGGCCTTCTTGTTCACTAATGTAATCAGAGTGATGCTGTAAGTCACACAGCTTCCTTTAAGAACTTCTTATATGCCAGGCACTGCGGTAAAAGCTTTAATGCATACCACTTAAAGTTTCTCACCATCCAGTAGGAAGGTATTAAACAATTTTACATAAAAATAAACACATTTAAAGTGTACATAACTTGCCAAGTTAACAGAGCTGTTTATATCTGAGGACTATGGCAAATAAGTTTAGAATCACTAACAATGATGAATGAGGGTAAATCATCAGGTATTTAAAGGATTTTGAAAAAATATCCAGGAATTCAAATGATTTCCAAAAAAAAATCACTAGGAATGTATAAGATTTTGAAAAATATAAGCAGAAAGTTACTAAACCTGGGACACTGGAAGTTGGAGGTTTTGTGCTGAAAGAAGTAGATGCTGGAAAACAAAATAATGTAGAGCACATCAGATACTTGGGAGCTATCACTGGCAAACATCAATATTTCAAAATAAGTTTTGAAAAGTATAAGTAGAATGTTACTTAAACCTGAAGTACTCAAAATCGGAGGTTTGGTACTGGGAGGAGCCAACACTGGAAAACAAAATAATGTCAATTGGATGAACCACTTACAAATTACTGTTTTTTTCATTCTTGACTTGTTTAGATGAAAATACCTATGCTTCAATTTTAAAAATGGCTGCTATCCAGTTTTATACATAAAAAAGTTGAAGAAAAATTTATACACCTGTGTGATATACATAATGTACTAACTCTATAAAAAATATACAAAATAACCAAAGAATTCTTTGTGAATTTTATATATCAAGACATAGTCAAATACTAAAACTGTTGTATCATTTATACTTAATGTCAAAGAATTAAAATCTAAATAAAGAAGAACATAAAAGACATGCTTTGTACCTGGAACACATTTTGGAATCGCAGGCTCCCAAGTTCCATTAGCTCCACAGACAATTGTGCGGCTGCCTTCAAGGGAAAAGCCCTGATTGCAAGCAAGTTCAACCTCTGCTTTGTAGTAATATTTGTTTGCAAATCCTGACACCAGTACTCCATTCGTCAGTGTTAGATATGGACATCTGACCACTGAAAAGTGAAGAAATTTCAGAATTAATGGAAAGCTGCTTTAGCCTAGGAGAGAAAAACTAGTACAAAATAGTAATTTCCCTGGAAACAGAGAGACAAGGGATAGAAGGCAGGATGTTAACTCTTTAAAAGACTTTATTTGTGCGTCTTAATTGTAGGTAAATAGATTTCACAAAATCCAATCTTTTCTACCTAGAACAACAGACTGCCACTAGAGTTTGTTTATAGGCTTTCCTACATTTTTTCTCCCATTACTGACATGTTTTGAGAAAGGTCTGACTACCAGATACAATTTCCTAGTAAGTTCAGATACAACCTGTTGATACTTTTTAGCTCCAGGGATTTAAAATTTCATGCTGACACTGATTACAGTACCCTACTTTAGTAGAAAGGCAGAAGAGACTCTTGTGAATTAAAATACTTCAGCTCAAATTTAAAAGTTGGAAATAACCTAGCTATGCAAAAATGCAAAGAGAAAGTTCTAAGTACTAACAACATACAAGAACTGGGATGCTCAAGAAATAGAAAGACAAATGGAGTCACGGCTGTGTTTTCCATACATTCTGGACTCCAACCCAGGAATCGAAAACCACATTTTCCACTGTAAACCAGTATATAATCCCACAAGCCTGAGATAAAGTTAAAAGTTAATATGTAGACTTCATACTAGTGTACTCTGGTATTTCTACTCTACTTCTCAAGAAGTAAAATGTTGGTCATAACATTCTAAATTGATTTCAGAATCCAGTAATGGGTTTGGCAGAATTGGGATGGGGGGTGGGGGAGCATTGGCTGGCAGTAAGTAAAAGAGAACATTTTATGAGATTAAACCAGGACAGTGCTTTTCCTCCTGGCATGTGGATCTGAACTGCCATCAGGTACCTTTCCCCTTCAGCCTGAAGAACTTCCTGTAGCAATTCTTAGAGGGCGGGTAGGGTAGTGACAATTCTCTTAGCTTTAGTTTATCTTAAAATGTTTTTATTTATTTCACCTTCAGTTTTAAAAGATTTCTCCTTAAAAGGTGAAGGGATTAAGAAGTGCAAATTGGCAGTTACGAAATAGTCACAGGAGTGTCAGGTACAGCATAAGGAATATAGTCAGTAATACTGTAATAACTACGGATGGTGCCAGGTGGGTGGCTATAAGACTTAACAGCAGTGATCACTTTGTAAGTTATATAAATGTCTAAGCATGATGTGGTACACCTGAAACTAATTAATATTGAGTGTCAACTGTAATTAAAATTTTTAAAAATTTTTTTATTGATTTTAGAGAAGGAGGAAGGAAGAGGAGAGGGAGAAGAGAGACAGAAACATCGATGAGAGAGAACATTAACTGGCTACCTCCTGCATGCCCCCCACTGGAGATTTGGCCCACAACCTGGGCATGTACCCTAACCAGAAATCGAACCAGGGACCTCTTGGTGCATGGGTCTTCACTCAACCACTGAGCCACACTGGCCGGGCTAACTGAAATTTTTTTTAAATTTTAAATAAAATACTTCTCCTTGACAGAGACCTCTAGGTTTCTTGTTTTATTTTCCTTTCAGCACTTTAGTAGATGCTATTGTCTTCTAGTCTCCACATTTCCTTAAGAGAAACCAGCTGTCATTCTTACTTAGAGCAGTGGGGCAAATGTAATATATTTGTTTTTTTCCTCCTCTCATTGGCTTTTTCTTTTTTGTTTTCAGAAGTTTTACCATGGTATGTTTACTTTAGCGGGGTTTCTCTGGAAGTTTTTAAAATGTATTTATCCTGCTAGGGTCACTGAATTTCCTGGACTTGTGGGGTAGTTGCTTTGGATCAAATGTGGATAACTTTTGGCCAATATTTATTCAATTAACTGTCTATACTATTGTTTCTCCTCTTTCTGAAACTCCATTAACATGCATCTTTGACTGCTTGCTATTCCCCAGGCTGTAAGCCTATCTTTCTCTCTCTTTTTAAAAATATTTCTTTTAAATCATTTTGTTTCCACTGTCTTCACTGATCTATTCTCTGTTGTGCTAAACTGCTGTTAATCACAGTAATAATTTCTGTAAGTTAGAGTTACTGGATATAATCTACATACAGTAAAACTCACCCTTTTAAGTGTACAGCTGAATGAGGTTTGATCAATGAAAACACTATGTAATTATCACCACAATAAATTCAAAGAAGAGTTCGATTACCTCCAACATTTCCTCATGCCATTTTGTAATCAACCCTCCCCATCCCCCAACCACCTTCCCCAACCAGCCAACCACTGATCTGTTTTCTATCCCTATAATGTTTCTTTTCCAGAATGTCAAATGGGATCTCAGCCTCTGAGTATGGCTTACTTCACTTAGTGTAATGCATCTCAGATTCATTCCTGCCTTTGCAAGATTAGACACTCATTCCTTTTTATTGCAGAGTATTATTCCATTATATGGATGTACCATGGTTGTTCAGCCATTCACCAAATGAAAAATAAGTGGCTGCTTCCAATATGGGATGATTAAGAATAAGGCTGTTATGAATATTCTCATATAGGGTTCTATTGAACATGTTTTAATTCACTTGGATAGCTGAGTTGCATGGTAAGTGCATATTTAGCTTTATAAGAAATCACCAAATGTTTTCTTAGATAGACATACCACTTTGCATTCTTAACTTGCAATGTATGACAGTTCTAATTACGCCATATCTTTATGAGTAATGGTATTGTTAATTTTTAAATTTTATTCTTAGCCATTCTAATAGGTGTTTAGTTGTATATCATTGTGGCTTAAAATTATATTTCTGTGATTACTAATGCTATTGAGTAACTTTTAATGTACTTTTTGCCATCCATATAACTTCTTTGGTGGAAGAGTTCTACTCAAATATTCTGTCCATTTGAATAAACCACAGAACTTATATGCATGTATGCATGAACAATGAACATGGACAACAAAGCTGGGGACAGGGCGGGGAGGGTGGGGAGGGGGGAATCAGTTGGGGAAAAAGGAGAAATATCTGTAACTATTATTTACTCCCACAATGTTTGCTACTTTCTCCAGGGGGAACAGTTCTCTTTTTGAGGAGACTTAAGATGTCAAATTTATAGGTATAAAGTTGTTTGTGTTATTCTCTTATTAGCCTTTAAATATCTGTAGGATATTTTCAGTGATGTCTTCTTTTCCATTCTTAATATTGGTAACTTGTATTTTCTAGTTTTCTTGTCAGAATGGTTATATGTTAAAACATTTTATTGATCTTCTTTAAAAATTATGTGTTGGTTTCATTAATTCTCTCTACTTTTTTCTCTTTTACATTTCTATCTTTATTCTTTCCTTTTGTTTCCTTGTTTGGAGTACAATTTGCTCTTCCTTTTTTAGGTTCATTAGGTAGAAGTTTAAATTACTGATTTGAGATGTTTCCCCTTTTCTAATAAGTATTTCATGCTATTAGTATCTTACTAAGCAATGCTTTGGCTGTACCCCACAAATTTTAATATGTTGTATTTTCATTTTCATGCAATTCACAACACTTCTCATTTTGCTTGTGAAGTCTTCTCTGCACCATGGGTTAGCCGAAAGTGTCTTGCATAATTTTCATATATTTTGCGATTTTACAATTATTTTTGACTTCTACATTCATTCCACTGTGATCAGATAATGTACAGTAAATGATTTTAATATTTTGAAATTTGTTAAAAATTATCTTAATGCCTAGAATATGCAATTAGAGAATGTTCCATTTGCACATGACAAGAGTAATTATTTTGGTATTATTCAGTGGTTCCTTTCTTGCAAGAGTCAAATAGCCTCCAGTGCCTCCCTGTTTGAAGTCACTCTCTAATGCCTTAAACATTATGTTTAAAGTACAGGCACATGACAAAGATACAGCAGGTTTGGTATCAAACCACAGCATTAAAACGAGTATTGTAATAAAGCAAGGCATAATCTCTCTGTTGGTGAGGGTCTTGCCTTCAATTAAAAAAAAAAAAACATCTGTGAAATGCAATAAAGCAGAGTGCAATTAAGTAAGGTACGCCTGTACATTTCGTTCAGAGTTTATCAATCTTATTGGTGAGGAGGTTAGTCTTTTATGACTACTCCACTATTATTTTCTAGCTGGCACTCATAGATTTTTTGCAAAACAAAATAAATCTTTGTTATGTTTAAACCAATGTGAGTTTTTTGATACTCTGAAGCAAAAACAAAAACAAAAACCAAAAAAAACAAAAAACAAAAAAACCCAACTCCTGCATCTACACCATAATTCACAATGTATAAATTCTAATGCCAAGAAAACTGAAAACTGTGGTGAGGGGTGGGGAACTCTACAACTAAAATTAGTTTTGATTCAATTTTACCGTTTTCAAATTAAATCAGAAATCAATTTAACAGTGTGAGTGAGCAAATGTGGCTATTTTGTTTACTTGTTAGTGAAGTATTTACAAAGCATTTCCATACTATTTACAAAAGAAGAAATAAATAAAAATATTATTACCTTTACACTCAGGAGGGTCACTACTCCATTTGTTTTGCCCGATACAAATCAGTTTGCTCTCTCCAATAAGTGAATATTTATCTGGTCCACTTGAAGGATTACAACTATAAGTGACTACTTCACTATATTCAAAGGTATCCTTGTGGCTATTGGAGTATGTTCCATTTGCTATTTGTTTAGGTGGTTGACACAAAATCTCTTAGAAAAAGAAAAAAGGAGGACAGGAAAGGCAAAAAAAAAAAGCACAAGATTAAGATAGCATTAGTAATATCCTATGAACTGCCTTCAATAAATTCATTAATATGATTTCTACAGTCTAGTTGCAAATCCAATATCCACTTGAAACAAAGTTTCTATGAAGTGTACTATCTTTTTCATCCTTAAGAGTGTATAGTGAAATTTGCCAAAGGTACAAATGGTGTGCTAACCGGACAACCCAAATCCTGAGGTCTTCCTTTAAGACACATATTGATGAGATTTGCAAACATGTAAAACAATGCCATGATTCTCACTATTTGGAAATTTTTGTTTTTTCATAAAAAATATGTTGCATATATTAATATGTATTATGCTTACTGTTCCTAGTAATGAATTAGTAAATAACTACTTTTAAAACGTTTCCATTTGAATTCCAATATAATGAATAGCAATAGCCACATTTCACCTGAAGAGAAGCTATGTGGGATCTTTTTACATTTAGAAGTATAAAGTCAAGCCAAGGCCAAAAGTTTGAGAACTACTGCTCTAAATTTAAATTTTAAAGACAGAGTATACTTACTTTCACAACGTGGGGGCTCATCATTCCAAGCCACGGTATTCCCAGAAGAAATTTCACAACGTAGAACTGGGCTTCCAAGTAAGTAATAACTAAATAAGAAAGAAAAAAGATGATTATTATTATTTTTTTCTTGTATGTGCCCCTAGTGGAAACCAAACCCAGGACTCTCTGGTCCGCAGGCCAACGGTCCAACCGCTGAGCCAAATCAGCCAGGGCATGTTTTTTGTTTTGTTTTTTGTTTGTTTGTTTGTTTTTACCAGCTAACATGATGCACATGGTAATAAGGAAAACTTTTATATGGTTGTTTTTCTGCACTACAGTAGTTTAAGGGAGAAATTTCTTAAATGACTTATAATGAAAGTACAAACAAAATCTGTAATGAAATAAAGAGTTTCTGCATTTGATCACACACTGACCTAGAGCAAATTATCTACATCTATGCTTGTCAGTCTGGCCTCTCTGCTCTCTCCAGCAGGCACATCAACATTCACTTCTGTGCCCTAGTTCATGCATTCTGCCCAGGCAGGATCATGACCGAGTAGAGAGAGCAGGCTCAAGAGCTTCCCTGCCTGGCTTTGCGTCCCAGCTCCACAACTGACTTGTTATTTCAGTTGGGCAAGTCCCCTTTTCTTTCTCAGTTTCCTCATCGATGAAAAGGGGCTAACAGTATATACCTCGTGAGGTTGTTGTGAGTAGTAGATGAATTAGCATGTGGAATATGGCGAGTGCTGCATAAGCTTTAAGTCTTATGAATATTCTTCAGGCCCTGGCTGGGTGGCTCAGTTGGTTAGAGCATCCTCCTATGGAAAGGTGGCAGGTTTGATTCCCAGTCAAGGCACATATCCAGCTTGTGGGTTTGATCCCCAGTCTGGGCATGTATGAGAGACAATGGATTGCTGTTTCTCTCACATCGATCTTTCTCTCCCGTCCTCCCTTTAAAATCAATTTTTAAAAAAATTCTTCAGATCAGAGTATCTTCTTAGAAGTAGCTCAGGAAGACCCCTACTTGATTTCATCTCTAATGATTCAAATTCACATTATTCTCTCCTGCTCTGGATTATCATCGTAATGACCATGAATAACATCTATTTCTTTGGTACTTCTCATTTACTCTTTTGCTTTGACATCTGTCTGTGTATACTGTACTTCTCAATAAGGCAAAAACTTCTTTAAAAAGAGTGTATGTCTTAACCTTTTGGTACTCCTCAAAGTGCCTTCCAGGTTCTAACTTTAAACTAGATATTTTTATTTGATCAAGTAAAAACATAGTCACCGAAACTGCCTATAGCTGCTTCCAGCTGACTCTGCCCAAGACTCACTCATTGGTTCTATATTATAATACATGAGGAGAGGATTCAGGGATGATGGGAGGGTAGGAAGCACCAAGAATCTGGCTTCCCACCTAAACAACAATTACAATGCTGGAATTTGGATGATGTGACTATTCTGGAACTCTGGAGTCCCTTGAGGCTTGTAACTGCTAAGGGAGGACTTGGACAAGGAAACTGCATTAGTGTCTGTCGCTCTCAGCTCTTAGCACGGTGGCAGCTGCCCATCTCGCTCCCACAGCAGGCAGATGCACACGGCTCCTGCAGCAGCCTGCAGGGACCAGGGGAAACAACCCTCTTCTCACAAATACCAGGGATCTGTGCTCTTACTACTGACGACTGCTTCTGATCAGAACAGCAGACAAAGAAGCGGGCAGTCATTATTGTCACATGTCTCCACTTTTGCAAGCCTATTCATTACCTACTGAAGTGACCTCTGGAAAGTTAAAGAGCCAGTGTTCTTTGCTCCTCCCTTCAATTTTTGCTCTTTCCCTTTGAAAAGCCAGACATCAAATCTGGAACAAAGGCTCAGAAAAGACCTGAGAAGTCTTTTAGGATATATATCAGGGTGATCCTCAGACCCTACAACAATCAAAACACTAAAAAGAACTAAGGAAAATAATAAGCCCTGGGAAGGAGAATTTGATCTCCAGAGTTACCTCATTATTAGATTCAAGTGTCCAGTTCAAGAAAAAAAATCATAAAGCACACAAAGAAACAGAAAAGTATGGTGCCTTCAAAGAAAAAAATAAATTAACAGAAATTATCCCTGAAAAAAGACCTCATTCCAGATCTAATACACAAAGATTTTAAAGTAACTATTTTCCAGATGCTCAAAGAACTAATGGAATTGTCTGGCTGGTGTGGCTCAGCAGTTGAGCGTCGACCCATGCCCCAGGTCGCCAGTTCGATTCCTGGTCAGGACACATGCCCAGGTTGCGGGACGGATCCCCTGTGGAGGGCATGCAGGAGGTGGCTAGTCGATGTTCTCTCTCTCTCTCTCTCATCAATGTTTCTATCTCTCTCTCCTTCTCACTTCCTCTCTCTAAAATCAAAAATGGGAAAAAAAAAAAAAAAAAGAACTAATGGAAGAAATGTAGAAAAATCAAGAAAATAATGAACACAATGTGAATCTTGATTAGGAGATGGAAAACCTGAAGAAAAAAAAAAGGCAATTTTGGAATTGAAAAGTATAATAACTTAAATGAAAATTATATGAAAAATGAAAAGTATAATAACTTCACTACAGAAATTAAAGGCAGTTTTTAGCAGGCAGACAAAAGAATTGGTGAACTTGAAAGGACAATGGAAATTATTGAGTCTGAAGAACAGTGAAAAGAACCTAAGGGATCTATGGGACCTGTAGGAAACCAATAAGCAGACCAACATATTCATTGTGGGACTCTCAGAAAGAGAAGATAGAGTGAAGGAGGCAAAGAAAATATTGAAGAAATAATGGCTGAAAGTTTCCCAAATTTGATGCAAGACATAGATACATTCAAAAATCTCAATAAACTCCAAGTGAGATGAACTCAAGAGAACCACACTAAGAAACATAATGAGCAAACTTTCAAAACCCAGTGATCTAATTTTAAAAGCTGTAAAAGAGGAGTGAATCATCAGTACAAGGAATTCCAAATAATACTACCAGCCGATTTCTCATCAGAATCTTGAAGGCCAGAGGACAGCGAACGGATACACTCAAAGTGATTAAAAAAAATATATATATCCATCAAAAATCTTCAATCCAGCAAAAATGTACTCAAATGTGAGGGAGATACTAAGACTTTTCCAGAAACAAAAATTGAGGGAGTTGTTACCATCAGACCTTGCCTGCAAAAAATACTCAAGGGAGTCCTAACAGGTGAAATTAAAGAAAGTAACCTGAAGGCATATGGATAAAGAAGCATTTCACTACAGGTAAATATATGGGCAATAATTAAAACCAGGATTATTGTAACAATGGTCTGTACCTATAATTTTTGTTTTCTATGTGGTTTAAGAGCCAAATCTTTCAAAAGAAAATAAATTCATTACTATGGCGGCTAGTATTACAATTATTAGTGTAGAGGCTACTATTACATTAACAACCAAAAGGAGTGGGGATAGAGTTGTAAAGGTGCAGTTTTATAATTTAATGAAATTAAGTTGGTATAAATTCAAATCAGAAAACTGTAACTGTAGGATTTAAAATATAATCTGCATGGTAACCACAAACAAAAACTGTATAGAATGGACACTAAAGTGAATGAGAAAGAAATTTTAGCATTTCACTATAAAAATCAACTGAACAGGAAAGAAGGGACCAAAAAAAGCTCTAAGGCATGTAGAAAACTGTAGCATAATCATAGAAAACCGTCTTTCCTGTCAGCAATTCTTTTAAATTTAAAACAATTATACTCTTCAATCCAAAGACAGATACTGGCAGAATGGATAGAAACAATGGATCCAACTATATGCTATCTACAAGAGACTCACTTGAGACACAAAAACACAAATAAGATGAAAGTAAAAAAGTGGAAAAATATGTTCCATGCACTTAGTAAATATGAGAGCAGAGGTGCCACATTAATGCATACAAAATAGACTTTAAATCAAAAAAGTTTAGCCCTGGCCAGTTTGGCTCAATGGTGCCAGACCGAAGAGTCATGGGTTTGATTCCCGTCAAGGGCACATACCAGAGCTGCAGGTTCCATCGGGGGTCATGTGGGAGGCAACCAATAGATTTGTCTCTCTCACATCCATGATTCTTTCCCTTTCTCTTTCTCTCTGTCTCTTCCTCCCTCCCTCCCTGCCTTCCACTTAACCTAAAAATCAATGGAAAAATATCCTCAGGTGAGGATTAACAGCAAAAAAGTTACAAGAACAAAGAAGGACATTATATTTTAATGAGGGTTCAATACTACAAGAAGATGTAATGATTAAAGCATTTATGCACCTAATGACAGCCCTTGAAAATACATGATGTAAAAACTAACAGAATTGAAGAGAGAAATATACATTTCTACGTAATAGGCCTTTCTCCAAAAATAGTTGGAGACCTTAATACCCCACTCACAATAATGAACAGACCACCCATCAGAAGATAAATAAGAAAACAGAGGACTTTGCCCTGGCTGGTGTGGCTCAGCTGGTTGGAGCATAGTACCATACACCTAAAGGTGGCAGGTTCAATTACTGCTTAGGGCACATACCCAGGTTGTGGGTTCAATCCCTGGTCAGGGTGTATACGGGAGGTAACCGTTTGAAGTTTCTCTCTCACTCAATGTCTCTGTCTCTGTCTGTCTGTCTCTCTCAAATCAATAATAAAAAGAAATAGAGGATCAATAAGACAACTAACAAAACAGATCTAACACAGATGCAAATAGAGCACTCTATCCAACAACAGAACACAGTCTCAGGTTCAAATGAGACATTTTCCAGGACAGACCATATTTTAGGTTACAAATTGATAACACAGATTAATTTTATTAATAAATTAATTACATAATAAATACATAATTAAAAACATACTTACACTTGGCCACAGTTAATATTAAATATCTATTAAATATTAAAAAATAGATATCAAAGTATCTTCTGACCACACGGGATGAAGTTAGAAATCAATATCACAAGGCTGAAAACAACACACTTTTAAACAACCACTGGATCAAAGAAATCACAAGAGAAATTATAAATAACTTTCAGATGAATGAAAATGAAAAAACAACATCCCCAAACTTATGAGACATAGTGAAAACAGTGCCAAAGGGGGAATTTACAGCTATAAAAGTTTATAACAAAAAATGAGATCTGAGCCCTTGCCGGTGTAGCTCAGTTGGTTGAGATTCGCCCTGTGCACTGAAAGGTTGCTGGTTCGATTCCTGGTCAGGGCACATACCCAGGTTGCTGGTTTGATCCTCAGAGACAACCAATCAGTATTTCTTTCTCTCACATTGATATTGTTTGCTCTCCCTCTCCTTTTCTCTCTAAAATCAATAAAAACATATTTTTTTTAAAATGAGATCAGCCCTGGTCAGTTTGACTCAGCGGTTAGAGCGTCGGCCCGTGGACCAGAGTCCCGGGTTCGGTTCCTGCTAAGGGCATGTACCTTGGTTGCAGTTTGTCCCCGCCCTGGCTGGGGTCGTGTGGGTAGAAACCAGTCGATGTCTCTCTTTCACACAATGTTTCTCTCTCTATTCCCCGCTCTCTCCCTCCTGCTCTATCTGAAGATAAATGTAAAAAATGTCCTTGGGTAAAGATAAAAAAAAAGAGAGAGAGAGAGATCAGAAATTAACAACCTAACTTCACAACTAGAAATAGAAGAACTAAACCCAAAACTATCATTAGGAAGAAAGTAATAAAGATTAGAGCAGAGATAAACAAGAAAAGAGGAAAACAATAGAGAAAATAAATGAAATAAAGTCAGTTCTTTGACTTGATAAACCTTTGGCTAGAAAGACTAGTAAAAAAAGAGAAGACCCCACATTACTAAAATCAGAAAGGAAACTGGGGACAATACCAATTATACAGAAAACAAAATATTGTTAGAGTACTATGAACAATTTTATGTCAACAAAACCTATCACACAGACTAAAGACTAAGTCACACAGATATAAACTCCTGGACCTAATTGGTTTCATGCTGAATTCTACCAATTTAAAAAAAAAAAAAATACTAAATCCAACTCTTCTCAAAATTTTTTTAAAAATGAAGATGATGGAAGTCTTCTGAACTCAGGCTATGAAACCAGCATTGTTGTGATACCAAAGCTACCAAAGACACCACAGAAAAACTAGACATATATACCTTATGAACCTACATGTACAACTCAGTGGAAGACTAGCAAACAGAATTGAGTAGCATATTAAAAATATTATTCACTATGACCAAGTGGGATTGATTCTTGGGATGCCAGGATGGCTCAACCTGTAAAAATTAATTAACGTACTATGCTACGTCAATAGCATAAAGGAGGAAAAACACATGATGCAGTAAAAACACTTGACAAAATGTAACACTCTTTCATGTGAAACATAATCTATAAAGAAAGAAACTACCTCAAGATAATAAACAGCATACATGAAAAACCCATTGCAAACACCATATTTAATGGTAACAAGCGAAAGATTTTCCTCTAAGATAAGGAACAACGTAAGGATGCCTGCTTTTACTACTCCTATCAACATACTACTGGACGTTCTGGCCAGAGCAATTAGACAAGGAAAAACAACAAACAAAAGGCATCAAAGTTGGTTAGGAAGAAGTAAAATTATCTGTGTTTACAGATAGTGCAACCTTATCCATATAGAATTTGTAAATTCTAAAAATTACAAACACACACACCCCATTAGAATGAATGAATTCAGTAAATTACCAGGACACAAAGTTAATACAAAAAAATCAGTTACATTTTATATTGTATTACATTTACTCATGCTATAATGCACATTTTCCATAAATTTCCAATATCCCGAATATATACTATTAATAGAACCCTATAGAACAAAGGCTACTATTAAGTGCTCAGTAACTCTTTTTGAGACCTTCACTCCTTTGAAGCAGTCTCAAAAATAAGGCTTTCCACTAAGAGATCTTGATCAACGTTACGGTCCAGCCTAATCAGGTCAATTTTCATCTGGTTAACACATGACAGAGTTATCTCAATATAAGATTATTTTTGGTTGACAATTCTACCTCCCATTTCTATAAGCCCTCCATCAACTTTGAAAGTTGGCCATTTAAAATAGGGTGCACTTTGTTGTCAAGGATAAAACTACCATGATGACTATATTTTTCATGCTAACATAGGCTTATTATTATATGCAGCATTATACAATTCTGCTTTACTTCTACTGAAATTTCTTGCTATTCATTACACATCTTTTCAGTCTCTATAAAAAGTCCAAGAGTTGACTGACTATAAATACAACTTGTCGCACACAAAGCAAAATAAAGTCAACATTATGGGAATACTTAGAAGGGAAGCAAAACAAAAACAGAACTAGTAACATTTACCTATTTCCTCTACTTACCCCTCATTACAAGAAAAGCGAAGCTCTGAACCATACTCAAAAGATCCCTCTTTTTGTCCATTTATGGGATCTGGTGGTTGTGGACATGATTTTCCTGAAAGAAAAGTTTGAAATTCGTTTTTATACAATTTTCAAAACAGATTTGAATCAACACCAAAATTCTACATTGCTCTACTGAATTCATGGGAATACTATTTTCTTTCTTTAACTATTAAAAGGCCGAACTTAAGATTCACATTGCCCCAGAGAATCAATAGCCAAATAAAAAATTTCCTGGAGATTTTCAAAGCCTGAAAACATACATTGCTCTCTAAAATCTACATTCACGTGAGAAAACCATCATTGCAGTTGTGGAATAGACTGTCTAAAATGTGAGAAAATCTTTAGAGCAATAAAAATAGAAAGTATGTTTACTTACTTGTACAAGCCTCCTGGAGAGTTGGTGTCCACGTGTTATCAGCCTGACAAACAGTCGAGGTGGGAAGAGGAGGAACAATAATCCTGAATCCTAGGCGACATTCATATTCTACTTTGTCCCCAGGATTATAAGAGGTTGGAGGATTACCCTTGATTTTCATAGTGTTGAATCTCGGTGGGGCATCACAGGCATCTGGACATAAGAGAATAAGAACATGAAAATATAGTATTTTCTCTTTTTCACCAGCCACGGATTATGGCCTCCGCAGGCAGGTAGTGCAGAGCAGATGGAAAGGTCCATGTCAAGAGTTTAAGTGATTGTGCCACGTTTTCACTGGACCATGTGCCGTGCTTGCTTTAAATAACACTCTATTAGCTTTAAAATCTTGGAGAATAAGGTGAATATTCATTCAACAGTCATAATTTTGGTTTTAAAAATATATTTATAGGCATGCATCCTTCCCATTTATTCTGAGTTCATTTCATACTCACCTCTCCCTTAAGACTTTATAGCCCTTGATCAGATTACTCTTCCACAGTTTGAAATACAAACTGATGACGACTTGTCACTTCAGGCTCAGTCTCCTCTCAGGAGGCAAGTTCCTAGAGGTGAAGGACCAGTCATATGCCTTCTTTTCCTCCTACACTTTGTACCCAGTGGATGCTCAAGAAATGCTATGGTTAGAAGTAATTATTATTTAGCCATTGTGGATTTCATAGATCAAAATAAATATGGACTAAACTATTTCACAATGTAAAACTTCATTTCCTATCTGTGAAATGAGCATTTTATAAGTGAATAGATGCTATTAAAAATCAAATTTTATTACTTTGAATACCCTTACATAAAAAAAAAAAACTGCTTTCTTGACATTACTTTAAATATGCAACTGACCCTTAAGCAATGGTGGGGGCCCCCACGCAGTTGAAAATCTGCATATGACTTTTGGATTCCCCCAAACTTAAGTAGAGTATTTCCTCTGTATCACTCGGGAATGGGTTCCAGGATACCCCATGTAAGAACCCTTGAATGCTCAAGTCGCTTATATAGTGATTGAGAACAATGCATACAGTATGCTCTCAGCATTGTCGGGATTCCCAGCCGCAGATGGAAAATACTATTGGCTGTTTCCACAATCGTGAAACCCAGACACCAGCAGACACTAGGTATCTAGAGAAAAAAAATTCGGGGATAAGTGAATGCGGGTAGTTCAAACCAATGTGGTTCAAACGTCAAGAGTAATTTATCTTCTTTAACTGATCAAAGGATCATTCATGAACTCAGAAGCTCCCAGAGATAGCTCTTTGGGCTGTGTATCCAATATATCCCTGTAGTAAAGCTACTATATTGCTATGCTTTTAGAATTTTTTACTTCTGATTTCTTTGGAAGGGGGCAGTGTTCACTCCCTTGAATAGTGTAATTTGCCTTCCTTTACATTATCTGTGGGCTTGAAAGCCTAACAAATGTGTTAGAACTATTATGTAAAAAAAATGTGATGGAGACACATTAAGTAAAGTCCTAATGGGCTAAAAGAATGCAGAGGCCTCTCCTATAAAGTTAGGGACCTAAGGAGAAAGTAGATCTGTTTTGCTCCCTGAGGAACCTTTCCTCTTTTGCTCCCTGAATCTTGGTCTTACTTCAGATTAAGAGACCAGTAAAGCCCTGACCGGTTTGGCTCAGCAGTTGGAGCCTCGGCCTGTGGACCAAGGAGTCCCCGGTTCGATTCCAGCCAAGGACACATACCTCAGTTGCAGTTAGTTCCTGGCCCCAGTTGGGGTCATGCGGGTAGCAACCAGTCAATGTGCCTTTCTCACATTGATGTCTCTCTCTCTCTCTCTGTCTCTCTCCCTCCCTCCTACTGTCTGAAGATAAATGTAAAAATATCCTCAAGTGAGGATTAAAAAAAAAGAGGGACCAGTAAAGAGAACTCTAAACAAGTGAAATTTTACTCTCCTTTCATATTATATTCTAAATTCTAAAACTATATATATACACACACACACACACACATACACATACACACACAACAGTCCAACATTTCATTTCCATCATCTCCTGAAATCTACATACTGACAAATGTTTTCAACATTTCCATTATGCTGCCCTTGGTATCTGAATGTTCCTCAATCAACTGCTCAAAACAAAGGCAAAAAGGAAACCAAAATCTCTAGTAAGTGAAAGCAGTGTTTAAGCCCTGGCCAGTGTGGCTCAGTTAGTTGAGCATCAGCCCATGCACCAAGAGGTCACTGGTTTGATTCCCAGTCAAGGCACATGTCCAGGTTTTGGGCTCGATCCCCAATAGGGGGCAGCTGATTGATGGCTCTCTCATCTACCTTTCTCTCTCTCTAAAATCAATAAAAACATGTTCTTAAAAAGCACTGTTTCAAAAAAGGGTTAGTATAGAGGTAAGTTTTATTAATGAAATTACATTTATTTAATACCCTGAGCTAGATACTGTCACTTTCAATAGGAAAACAAACATGGGCGAGACAGTCTATATAATTCTGTTCAGATACAAAAGTACAACATCATTCTAGAATTTCCTGGACCCACAAAGAAAGAAATCACGCAACGGCATGCCTGTGATTAAATTATGCAAGTATCCTTTGTTAGATGCATTCAACCTTGGTGACTATCCTGAAAGCCCATAAAGAAGAAAGGATTCCTAATATGACTCACATGGAGTGTCTGTATGAAAAAGGAAAAGTCAAGAAGACAGTTTAATTCATTCAACTAATCTGAAGTATTTCTTCCCACTAACATGCATCATGAAAGATATGCTCCCACCAATGTGCAGGGTATAAATTGTGGTTTGGTAACCAGTTGATTACAAGCCATATACACTGTAATAAACGAGTTCAATACCATACTGTTTAATAAGCAAATTTCTTCTTATTTTTTTCCTATGGGAATGTTCAAACTAAACATTTCCAGACCCAGAAAAATAGCACCTTGACTTAGTTGTTTTCCTAGCTAGTTTAAATATAATTATTACTTGGCTGCAATGCTATATTTTAACAATAGATAACATTAAGTAATATGATGAACTGCATTCAGAAAATTTCCCAATATTCCATATGAGTTTCAGGAAAATGAAATAGCTTTCTGCTGAGTCAAGAGAGCTGTTCACCTTGTCTACATCTGTCAAAATTGGGTAAGCACTCTACCTGCTGGCAAGAATTAAAATCCTTTTCTGCCAAGAGTATATACATCCCGGCCCAGATCGGTGCCTTCAGAAATCATGGTCTGTGCCCAAACTGGAACCCCAAAGAAACCTGATAATCCTGCTCCTTATCCCACTATCTCCATAACCTATTTTAAAACTTTCTTTGCTTCCCAAAATGCAGACAATGACACCTACAACTGTCTATTTTATCTCTCACTTCCTCGTTTCTAGGCCTACAAAAATCACTAAATTACTTTCAAAGTCATTAAATGACCTTGCTTTTCAATGAATCCTAACACATTCTTCCACAGTAATTTTAGTTACCCTGTATATAACATCTGGAGCTACTGATCACTCTGCCTTTGCTCTTTTCTACCTAAAAACTCTCTCTGTGGTTTGCAGGACAGCACAGCCGCACTGGTTTTCAGCCTGTTCTCTAACTGCTCTTCCTCCTCTGCCTGACTGCATGTGATGTTCCTAATGGCACTTGCTAGGGACTCTTGTTATTTCGTTCTGCAGACCCCCAAGATGGGTAGATATACTCCCATGACTTCATTACCTCTAAAAAGCTGCTTCCCAAACCCCTCTCCGTTGTACATCTTGGGCTGGGGTGCCAAGTTTGTATATTTAATTGCCACCCCACATAGCTCACTTGGAAAGTGGCATGCTGTCTCAAATAACATAATGAACGCGCTCTCCTGTTTCTTCATACTCACACATACCCGGCGAACTAGTTGTATCGTTTCCATAACTAAATGTCTGTTCAACCCTCTAGTTCTATCCTTTACTCCTACAGCCACTGTCATTCTTCCAGTTTCTGGATAGGTCTCTTCACCTACCTTGGCACTATTCATTCCATTCATTCTTCATATTGCTACCAGAAAAATATGGACACACATGATACAGTGACCAAGGACCTTCCAAGTCAGATACTTTTCAACGGATCCTCAAGATAATGTCTCCTCAGCATGACTAACAGACTTTGAAAATCTGTCACTATCTGAATCCTGTTTTCTCTTGCACACTATTGTCAAGCCACGTTTGATCCCTTGTGGTGCCCATTACATTGCTTAAATCATGTCAGCACTGTAGATGCCTCCATGCATCATTTTCCTTCAGTTTTGACCGAGGAGACCCTGTCATTCTTCCCACGCACTCACCCTTCAGTTTCGTCTTAGATACCCTCCTTCCTTGAGGCTCCTGACATCTCCCACTCAGAGTATTGGGATAATGCCATCATGATACCACAGTATACCTTGCATAGAACTTTTCCTATTGTAATTATTTATTATTTTACTCCCCACAAGACTAACACCTTCTTGAGGGCCTCGTGTCATTCATCACTGCATAGAGTCAGAGCTGAATGAGCAGTTACCAGTTCTATACACTCTTAGATCAAAATTAAATTCTTTACTGTTCGTTCAGCCAACTTGTTCCAGAGATATCTGCAAGTCATAATTTTTCCTTCAGGTTTTGCCTGTATGCCAAGTTTTTCCATTACCCTTTATTAAAGTTTTAAATTTCTTTCCTGTCAAAATATTTATGCTTCGTTTAATATGAACCCATTTTCCATTACTGCTATTATTGGAAATGGTATTTTAACAGTATCAAAGGTGGACTGCAGGCCAGCACAGTTTCAGACGCAGCCTGGTGCCAGAAGGGGTCGGTCTGAAGGCCACCACACTTGCAGTGGAACGGCCTGATTTCAGGAGGCAGGCAAAGTGCCAGCCGAGTCCTCTCGGACAAAACAAGGCTTTACCCAGAAAGAGATGAAGCCTTACATTAGATCTGGAGGACACTCCTTTGAGTAAGGCTGACTTCTCATGCTTCAATAATGGTTCTTATTTACGTGGCAAATATTGTGCTGGATATGCAATTTCAACACCCTTTGATGTGACTGAAGTGGGATCTTTGCCTTTGGCTACTACAGCCCAACAAGCTCTAGGGGCCTGTGTCCTAGTTCAGGGCAGAACTACTGACATTTCTACTGATAGTCGAGATAACTGCAGAGTAAGCAGGTCATGA